AGGGATTCTGTTGTGCGCTCAAGTCTGAGAACCACTGTTCTGCTCTATCCCATGAAGTACCACCTCCCAGACTTTGCATAAAATTCAGCTCAGAAACTTCTCCCATTCATACCCTACCTTTGTTCCACAGGCCTCAACTCCAGTGCCCAGCATGGAGCTGGGCTCATCAAAGGCTCCATAAATATGACTTTTGCACAGGTTGTGACTTGTCAGAAAATGTCACAACACTGAATAACCACTCCACTCTGCTTCTGTTGACCTAGGCCATGATTCTGAGGGTATAAGAGCTGGTCTTTGCATCACTTTCTCTGATGAATCCTGACCTAACCTTTGGGCCTTGTCACAGAAGCTGGTCCTGGAATCCCTGGGGCTAGACCCACCTACTATAATGGAGGACAGTATCAATGAGGCTGACTGGGGTGCTTCTCAGACCAGGCCCAGCCCAGACCTTCAGGGGACCATGATACCACTCATGAGTATTATTTTGTTAGTACAAACTAAGATTTTTAGGCAGCCCAAATCAGCTCATATTTGGTGAGCTCCCACTGTGCATGTCTCTCTGATGCTGTGAGGCAAAGTGTGTTTTCTCTGAGTACAGAAGACAGAGCTCCAGAACAGATCTGCCGTGAGCCTTCACCTCCCTGGGCTCAGCTTCCGTACTCAAGAGAGAAAGATTCCATCCACTGGTCTCCTGATTCCACCATCCTATGGCTCTGTAACAAATATACAACCAGTGCCTACTTATCTACATTGGGGGTTTACTTAGGAAAATTTTGAATGCCAGGTGTGCCAAGGCTCTGACAGCAATTTGTGTGTGATGGTCAGATTTTAAATTATCAGGCTTAATCTCAAACACAAAGTAAAATGTACTATCCAGAAAATACACAGTACATTCCAAAGTTGAGTTTCAATAGTATTTTTGACATATTGGTAGTTTTTCAGACTCTACTGGCATCGATAGTGGATGGTTTTGTATATGATCAAAATGGTGTTCCTGATATATTCTTGAAAACACTAATCCAGGACAAAAAGGATGCTCCCTGAAAACCAGGGACAAATGAGTTTAGAAAATCCTGCATTCCACATCCTCACCTTGAAAAGTCACAAGCACAGGAACCTACTTCACCCCTAGGAAGTCCTGTGTGCACAGTATGTTATTTAAAATGGATAGCCCAGCATTTCCACAGGGAAGGGTTTCGTACCACATGTGCTTGGAAACACGTTATTGAATCACCTCACAGAATGCTCCATTAGAGGCGTCCTGTCAGATGCTTCACGCCTGTTACTTGGGGTCATGAGTTCAAGTCCAGGCTTTAACTTTGACTGCTGGCTGATGCCGGTCAGAACCCTTACTGTGTGTTTCATCGTCACAGTGGGAAGGTTGCTCCTAGCTTCCTAGTGGAGAGGCAGGCTGGCTAAGGAGCGGGGAGAAGGCCCACATGGGGAGCGGCCCTGGCCCAGGCAGTAACGGAGGGTGTTTGTCACTCCGGCTATCTTCCAGAGGCAGGAACTGGAGTCAGAGAACAAGAAGCTGAAGAACGACCTGAACGAGCTGAGGAAAGCCATGGCCGACCAGGCCACACAGAACCACCCCAGCCACGGCTCCCCGGACAGCTATAGCGTCCTGCTGGACCAGCTCAAGGTGGCCAATGAGGAGCTTGAGGTGCGCAAGGAGGAGGTGCTCATCCTCAGGACGCAGATCGTGAGCGCTGACCAGCGCCGGCTTTCTGGCAGGAACTCGGTACGAGCTGGGGGCCGGCGGCTGGGCCTGTGGAGGGTGACGCTAGATAGATCTGTGACACTGGTAGATCTGTGACACTGGTAGATCTGTGGTTTTCCTGTGTGTGTCTACCCGTGGGGATCTTAAACCTGAAAGAGCAGAGACTTTTGCTCTGGAGTCTCTCTTAAAAGCAAGGTGAGGGACTTGCTACTCTCTCAATATGACTTTTCCTGGGAGATTGAGCTAGAAGTTTCTAGAATCTTGTGAATTTGTGAAGATGTTCAGCAGGTAAACTGAAGGCGGCCTTGTTGTGTTTCGCCCGGTTCCCCTTGCTGTCTGCTTTGTTTCTGAAGTAAAGTTATTCCTCTCAGTTCCTTCCAGGATAGCAAGTCCCATGCAGTGTTTGCTCCTCGTGTTCCAGGACAAAGCGTAGAGCAGGATGGGGTATGGAGGTCACGAACTCTGTCCTTCTAGGCATGAGACTTAAGGGGCCTGGAGTGAGTTAGGCAGCAGTGAGATGGGGGGATTCCAAATGGAACCAGGCCTTAGCTGTGTGTCCTCTGACTTGGGTGCTTTCTCTACCCAAGGTCACATCCTTGCCATCTTTCCCCCAACTGCTGCGCGCTCAGATTGCTCACGGCTAGGCCTTGTCTTTGTTCATCTCTCAGAGTGACCTTTGGAAGTTACAACATTGCCTGGGGTTAACTATGATCAACTGAGTTATTTCCAGCCCTATCTTTTCCCCCTAAACACATTTTTATGCCTCTCTGTATTATATACAGCCATTTTGTGATAGATGTTTATATAACAAGGTTTACATTTTTTTTTAATTTGTGGACTTCTAGGAGCCAAACATCAATGCCAGGACAAGCTGGCCTAACAGTGAAAAGCACGTAGACCAGGAGGACGCCATCGAGGCCTACCACGGGGTCTGCCAGACAAACAGGTAAGGTGGCCTCTCGGGAAGCTGCTGGAGGTGACGGCAGTGGCCCCCTGACTGTGGGCTGGTGTTGGGAAGTTATTAGAGGACATAGAAGAAAAGGAGCCGACTCAATCAGCTCCTGCCCTTGGGAAGTCTGCTACCTGCTCAAGGTGGAATGATATACCTGGAGCACCTAGAACCCACAGCCCCTGAAATGTACTGGGCAAAGGGAACTTCCCAGGGAGGACAACAGGAGGCGGAGGATGGGGCAGACTGTGAGCCTGTCCTCTCTTCTTGGGGGGAAGCTGGCTTGGAGGGGAGCCGCTCCAGCTATCTGCCCATCTCACACACTGGTGGGTGTCACACGGCAGGGGGCCCATTCCCTGTTTTTCAGAAGAAACAGAACCCAAACTAGACACTCAGAGGTGGAATAGGAGCATTTCCCCTCTCCCATATTGGCCAAAATGAGATTTCCCTGGCTGACCACCTCTGGTCCCCCCTGAAGATGAGCTTACCCAGGGTTAAGATGAAAGAGAGTGATCATCCGAGGGAGGCAGTAGGCCAAGGGTTGTCAGTGGACAGCACACAGACCCTCAGGGCAGGTGGCAGAGTGCTTGAGAAGGGGGAGGGCCTGGAGCCCACATATGCACTTTGTAATAGTTATTGATTGTAGAACTGCTGGTGCCTCAGCTCCTTCATCTATGAAGTGGGGACGACTGTAGCAGTGTATGGCCTGTGGTTACTGAAAAGGCCACAAGCGAGCCAGTCCAGTGCTTGCATGTGGTGTGCACGTAATCTGTGTCAGCACTGCTACCACCATTGTTACTGTCTCTGCCTTCCTGTGCCCCTGTGGACACCTTTCACAACCTGGCCTTTCTCTCAAAGTTAGTGAAAACAGTGGACATTTCCAATAAGGGTCATTAGGTGGCGCTGTGAGCATGACTTGAAGTATTTTGTGAGCCTGTGGCAGAATTGCTAAAGGCTGCCTGGTGCTTTGACTCCCAGACCTTTTAATCCAGGCCCCTTTCTGCAGAGGGGGAAACTGAGGCAAGGGGGCCTAGGCACACAGGTGGCCTCTACTGCATCAAGGTAGAACCCAGGAGGCTGATGCTCCAGCACGGGCTGCTGTATAGGTAATCAGAAGAAGGCAATGTTGCAGGCCCCTGGGGAAATTTAAATTTATTTCCAGAGAGACGTAGTTCTTAAAGGAGGAAGACAAGGAATGAACACAATTCTCTCAGCACTAAAAATGGTGATTTAGTCATGTTAAGTTATCATAGGTTGAAAATAAGAAATGAGATGAATAAGAGACAAGAGCACAGGTGATATTGAATTTGAAGAAAGCCTGTGCGTGCGCCTGGTCCTGATGAGCGATGGCCTGCCTTCCTGGCCTTCAGAACCATCTCTCTTATCAGCTCCATTCTTAGTCATCCAGATGATTGGCAGGGATCCAGGCCCCCAATCTAGGCTTTCCCAGGGGCAGCTTAATACCCTGGATTTGTCTTTCTCTACAGCAGTAATGATGGTGATAAAATAAAAATAGCTTTTATTATATCTTAAAATAACTCTGTCCCCAGTGAGCCCAGTGTACAATAGGGAATTAATAGCCCATGAAACACAGTTAGGTACAGAAAGGAGCCAGCTGCCTGGGGGAGGGGAGGCCTAAAGAACCCATACCCCAGTGCCGATGGCACCAGGTACCGTGGAAATGACCATGATAGGTTCGTGTCTCTCTCTTTCTGGCTTCAGCCTCAGCTTTGAAAAAACTTTGATTGCAGCAAATCCCAGATAGAATGAGGGGGGCAGGCAAAAGTGGGCTGGCCAGGAAGGGGATCTGTCAGTGGCAGGCCATCCCATTATGACAGGAGCCATCCTGGCACCCAGGTGCTCTGAAGATAGAAAATCACTCTGCCTTTCCTATAATTTTCCTGTAATGGAGAGTGTTATGGTTTAAATATAAATCGTATTCCCATGTGTGATTTGTAAGGGGAGGTAGGGACCTTGTAGAATTTGGATCAAATCTACCTTCTCCCTAGAACAATTTATGTTCATCACTAGATTTTGCTTAGATTTCTGGGGGACCAGACTTTGTCACAGCCAATCATGGCCTGTCTAAACATTAATCACTCGTTGACTTTCATAGTTTGTAGAGATCTGTTTGGATCTGGGCATTGTGGCTCATGCCTGTAATCCTAGCACTCTGGGAGGCCAAGGAGGGAGGATTGCTTGAGCTCAGAATTTCAAGACCAGGCTGAACAAGGGTAAGACCCTCATCTCTACATCGTTTCTGTATGTCTATCAAATCCACCCTGGTCCTCAGGCAGCAGCGCAGCTGCTGTTGAATGGTGTAGCCATGTTCAGCCACACTCATGGTCAGGCCTGTAGCCTCCAAGCTTGTTCTGGTGTTTGGAGCACTGCCTTCTATTTCTCAGAGGTCCTAAGAAGTTGGCTAGAAAGCTTAGGTGTGAACTAAAGAAAGAAGAACATCTATGGAGCACACAGGGGTCTTTCTAGAAACGAACCGTCTCCGAGCTAGCTGGAACTTTGTTTCCACGGGAGACATGAACCTGTCCATTTAGCTAAAGGCTGGCCCTGATCCCATTTCCTTCCAGAATACAACTCCCAGGGCTGGGATCCACTAGGCACAGCTACTCACCAGGTTCACATTGGTCAGCCGAAAGAGCCCCGTGGCAGAGTGACGGTTCTTGGGTCCTGTGTTTTAGGATCTTCAGAGGGAACATAAATATTAGGCCTGGCCTGGTCCGTGACCCTTACAGTTAGTAATTAAAGACCTGGAAGAAAGCTTTGCGATAATACCATCGACTATTTTTCACTTTTCCTGTGATCTGAGTCGTTTGGGTTTGTTTTTATTTTACTGCTGCCAGGTGATGCGCCCTCCCTGGCCTTTGCCCATAATGGCATCTGTGGAGGGGGGAGAGGGAGACTCTTCCCCTGGAAAGTCAGTTCTATTTCATCTGGGAATAAAGGGTAAACCGAGCTGGCTGACTGGTTTATAATTTATCTTGTGCCTGATTTCCTGAGCACTGCGGGGGACCAGGGCCACATGGTTTCTGTCTGCATCTTTGTCCACGATGCCTGGTGTTAGATGGGTTGAAAAGTCTATGTTGCCCTCTCAGGCTGCTGGTGCTGGGATAGCTGCTCCCTTCCTCACTGTTTGTCTCAGCAGTGTACAGAAAGCATCCGTGGGCGATACTTCTGTGGGAGCCACAGAAGCGAGGTGACCTTCAGAGCTCAGTAGCCCTTTCTGGGGTCTGGAGGGCCAACCAGCATGAGGCTGGGAAGGAGCTTTAGAGCCCCTGGGTCCCAGCCCACGTGTCAGTGTGTCTCCACGTGTGGAAGAAAGAGGTGGTTGGGGAGCCGCATCCAGCATCCATTCCCTTTCAGCGCAGGTGCACTCTGCTTCTCCACCCTCCCCAAGCCCCCGGGTGTGCCACACCTTTAAGTTACACACTAGCCACTAAAGGGCCCTAGTAGGAAGGTGCTGAGCTGTCAGCCCTCTCACACCCTCTCAGGTCCCTTTTGGATTTACCGTGACAAATGGACAACACGGAATAGCTACATACTAACCACGGGAGTGGATGACACTACTACCAAATGCAGTGTCTGGGGCCTGGCCTGGAGAGGGCTCAGGGCATGGTGAGGGGCGGGAGTCCCGAATTGAAGTTGTCCCAGGATGAATATTTGCGATAGTCCCCTCACTGCCCAGCTGGAAGGGAGAAGCCACAGCAGTATGGGGCATACCCAGGAAACAGAAGCCACAGAGCAGCCACCAGAGTGCTCACCAGTCTCCCCCACACTGCTCCTCTCCTGTCCTCCTGCAGACTTGCAGGGAAGGGCCTGGTGTTGATGTGACTAGCTTTGCCCAAGCAGCAGCCTCTGTCAGCCCCGCAGGGTCAGAGGACCTCCTTCTTGAGGCTGAGTGGAAAGATAAGAGTGGGTAGTTACACCCCCTAGATGGGTAGCCCCCTGGGAGTTAGGAATTGGGGATTGGGGGTCCTTAGAGCAGGTGGTTTGGATGCTGTTCTTGCTCCATGATTCCTGCCATGGAAGCCGGGACCCAGCCAGCAGGTGCAGCTCTCCAGGAGCAGGGATGTGAGGCAGAGTCCTGCCTGCCCTCCACCTCTCAGTCCCACTGGCCTTTGAACATCTGCGTGTGCCCAGAACCAGGCAAGGTGGGCAGGTGTTTGAATGGAGGAGCATTTGACATGCCTGACCCCCAAGAGCTATCCTGCTGGAGATGGCAAGAGAGTTTGCACATACAAGGGGTCAGGTTCAGCTTTCCCAAGTGAGTAAACAGGATCAACACACTCAGATCCCAAAGTCAAGGAGAGACATCATTCAGTTTCTTTCAAAGCAGCACAAAACCTGTTTTGGCTATTTCTGTACGGGAAACCTAGCCACAAGAGCCATAGTTAAGATCAGTAAACATTTTTATGCCTATGGGGAGCATCAGAAATGGGTTGTGCGTTGAAAAGAAGATAAACGTGTAGTCCCCTTCCTTATCCTGGTCAGAGCTGACGTCCCCAGGGGCCAGTCCCCTTCCTTATCCTGGTCAGACCTGACGTCCCC